ACAGCATAGGAAAGGAAGACACTGGATGAGATGGATTGATATGGTGACTGGGTCAATTAGTGAGTCTGGCTCAGGACAGGGCAGGGTTCAGAGCTGTTGTACATAGATAGCATTGCTATGGGTCACAGGGGACTCGACAGCACTCAACAACAACAACAACATAATTAATGTAAAATATCAATGCATATTTTCAGCAATCATTATAATCAATATATAAAATTATTTCAATACATATTTTCATTATTCATTATGTTAAGTATTCTATATATTCAATGTTTAATATATATTTTCAATATTCAACCTATAGTCAACACATAAGATATATAATTTCAATATAGATTTTACTCATCTAAGAGTTAATAAGGAGCTGTGGTGATATAATGAGTTTATGTTCTGGGCTGTAAACCAAAAGGATAGCAGTTCAAATCCACTAGATATCTTTGTGGAAAAGATGGACAGTCTCTTCCTTTAGAGAGAGAGGGTCACTGTAAGTCAGAATTTATTCTGTTTCAGTGGAGATTGGGATGGGAATTCATGCCAAACTACCTGTTCCCTTCATATATTCAGGTACATCAATACTGGTCACACTGGTTTTGGAAAATCTAAAAGGATGTCAGAAGTGACTAGATCAGGAATGTCAATGTTGTTGGAATGTGCCCTCAAGTCAGAACCAGCTCATACATGACCCTCCAGCAAGTTTTCAGAGGCAGTAAATGTACTGCAGGGAGATTAATCCTTTTTCTGCCAAGAAGCAACAGGATTTGAACCGTGTGCCTCTGGAGAGCATTATTACTCATAACTTCAGGGGTCCTGAGAGTGGTAACCGAAGATGTGTTTGATTAGCTGCATGAATGGATGCAAAGTTAGATGCTGGATTTGTTGTCTGGTTGGATGTATGCTTGGTTGTATGATTAGTTAGTCGGTTGTGGGGTCACCTTTATCGTAGCTGGAATCCTATTCTCTTCTTGAAAAATGGAAGATTTTAAGGGAGCGAGGGAATAGAGATTCCTTATTACAGTCCATAATATCTACCACTGACAATGTACTTAAAAGACAACTGTGGGCGAGCTCTGGTGGCCTAGTGGCAAGAAGCTGCACTGCAATCCCAGAGGTGCACGGTTCAAAGCCACCAGATGCTCTGCTGAAGAGGGAGGAACAATTTCCTCCTGTACCAGTCAGATCTAATTTGATGGTACACACACACAAATAAGAAATAAAATAAAATTTAAAAAAGACAACTGTGAAGTAGTATATATTTTAATATTTTTAGATGGAAAATATTTTTTCAGTGAGAATTTCCAGAGGAGATTGGTATTCCATTTAGCATACATATATTTTGTTTTATGACATTGATTATTATGATTATAATGGAAAGTTAGATACATTGTTTGTTGACTGGTTGGATGAATGTTTGGTTGTATGGTTAGTTAATTGGTGATGACCACGTTTTGTCATATCTGGAATCCTCTGCATGAATGAAAAGTGGAAGATTTTAGGGTTACGAAGGAATAGAGACTTTTTATTACAGACCATTACAATTACCACTGACACTGTATTTAAAAAACTAATCTTTAATGTATCTTTTTGATATTTTTTGATGGAAAAAAATATTGTTTGGTTTTCCACAGCAGATTGGTGTTCCATGTAGCATACATATTTTGTTTTATGACATTGATTACAATCCCCACAATGAAATCAATAATTTTCCTACTATTCCTGTATGGTTATTGACTCCATTAATTCCTCCAATCTCTCTCTTTTCTACTTTCTGAGTTTTATCATTTGGCAAAAGCTTTCCTTATGATTTTGTATGGTTGAGTATTCTAAGGACTAAGTATTTCCCCAGTGTTAAAGCTGATTTTATGTTCATTGCTCGGCTCCCTTACATTAATTAAGAAATAGGAAAGGTGAGAAAGGACAAACCCTGAAAATTAGAGAAAGGGAGAAAATCAGGAAGAGGGAAAATTAGAAATGATAGCACAGAGAATGCAAACTTCCTAAGTGAAATTAAAAGTAAAGCTAAGCAGAAGAATCCTAGCTATAGAGGGGAAGAGGAGTGAAGGCTATGAAATGGAAGTAATAGAGCAGGGAAGAATGGAGTGAGAGGGCAGATCAAGGAGAGAAGTCTTTAGTCCCTTTTCAGCAGGAAGTAGCTAAGAGAATACACCATCCCCTTTTCCTTATGAATCAGGGTGAAGTCTCT